AGCGCCTCGTAAGTTACAACAAACAATCAAACTCATATAAGCAAGCTGTGCACTGGAGATAGTAGAGAGAAAAGTATAATATAACAACATAGATGTTGTTGCAAAAGCAAAAGCTACAACAACTTTGCGAAGAAGCAACAAGAAGCTCAAATATCAATTGCAATTAAATTGATTGCCCATTATCTGAAACAAATGTCACACAAGCGGCTTGACAAAAGTACTCGCACACACAAACACACATACCAAATAAATGAGTGAAAAAAGCATACAAAAATATATCTGTCTGAAACCAAAAACAATAGCAAACAGAGCAAGCAGAGTGAGTAGTAAAAGCAGTAAGCATAAAAGTATAATTTTTTTCAGCTAGCAAACACCAACAACAAGGCCAAGCCAGGCCAGGCCAGGCCAGGCGACATACATATATAAAACAAATTTAGTGAAATTGTGTTGCATGTACAAATGAAAATGAAGCAGCTTAGGAAGGCGGCAATCAGTACTAGAAGTAGCAGTAGAACGCAGCAGCAAGGACAGCAGCTCTTTTAACTAAAAGCTCATAAGAGATTTACAAAAAATGCAGCATACATCTGGGCGCTAAAAAATAAATTACAAAAACGTCTCCATGTACAAATGTATGCAACTTCGCATGCATACATACATATATATTTAACTTAAATGTAATTTTGTTAATCGAATGTATATGATACTGTTTTTTCGATTTTTATATTCACGTATTTTCCAATTTTTTTACTTATATTACATTTCAGAACTTTAATGTTTCTTTGTTTTTTAAATGCATCTTTAATTTTCTTTCAATTTAATTTTAAATCTGTGTTGTGTACTCTTCATGCAATTCTGTACAAAGGAGTATATTATGGTATAGGTATCAGGATTTTTGTTGCGCACTGAAAGAGATGTGATATACCGTTTTTACATTATGAACTTTGCGGGTGTAAATCGACTTTGAGCTTAAACCCAGTCACCAAAGCTTACTTTGTCATACAAAAATCGGTACAATAAAGCCGAACTTTCATGGAAAGTTAGCTTTATTTAATACTTTTTCAATAATACAATGCTGAAAATAATGTGTTATCCATAAGTTTTTGGTACGAAAATGGTGAAATTACAGATTTTTACAATAATATATTGCTAGTACCAAGTTAGCCATGTTATTTACAAATAAATTTTTAAAAATTGAACTTTTTCAAAGATATTTAATAATATCAGTTAAAATATTGAAATTATTTCTATCTAATGAATTTCTTGAGTTATTTTTTATACTTTGTACAGCAAAATTTTGCATAAAACTTGAAGTTTCTCGAATTAAGGAGCCGGACTTTGGATTCAAATTTTGCAAAATTGCACTATTTTATTTTTGTGTGCTTTATTGGAGTGCAAATAAGTACTTTTTTTAGATTTATCTAAAAATGAACTTTAAAAAAAATTATTTTAAAGAGCATATTTTATTTTTCGTATGATTTTAAAAATGCTCATTCGATTTCTTAATTCTACACATCAATAGAAAGATTTTTCAAAATTCTATAATATACATTTTTGTTTTGTTTATTTGATTTTTTTTTTCTTCTCAATAATTATTGATAAATAAAAACATAGGTTTCCTTGATAACGTTTCCAACCTCATGCTCATCAATATATTAAAAGAACAACAATTCTCAAAATGAAAACCTGAAACTGGGATGGAGAATCTTATCCATAGAGCTATCATCTATCTATAGAGCTATAGACTATGTATGTATATACCTATGAATATATACATTATACTCGTATGGCAATGTTATACAGACAGTCGTATGACAAATGAACACGGCAATTTTACACTCTTTTTGGTCATGACCAAAACGCACGCATGTCATACAAAAATTCATATCACAATTGTCAATTTTCTACTTATACTACTATTTTGGTACGTTTTTTGTGCCTAAATTTGAAAAAAAAATATTTTTATACCTAAATTTGGAAAAAAAAATATTTTTGTGTGGATATCTATACAAATATACACATATTTATTTATAATAGCCGTAAATTTTGACATTTATTAGAGGGCAACATTGTTTCGGTTAATGTGAAGAGGTACACAAATCCTCGTTGACGTGACCAAACTTAAATCGAAAGTTCTCTCTTTCTCTCATTTTCAGTTTTTTACAACTATATTCTCCCGTCCTCAATGGCTCATACGATTATAAAGTGAATATATGTAAAGTGTATATGTCTTAAAATTTTTTTGAGCAGTTATTCAGCTGTTACGGAGCACTATAAAAAGTGCAAGAATTATAAGAACTGTAGTTCTGAGGTTTTGAAGATAATAATGTACCCAAAACGCAAAAATTTGCAACGTCTATACGTCTTTGTTCATTAGATTTTAAGTGAAAAATATTTTTGTGTACATTAGGTATAAGTGAAAATATGAAAGAATTAAGTAATAAGCCAATAAAACCTTTTTAAGAGAATTTTCTGTGTCAACAATATCAAAGTTTCGACAGAACAAAGCAATTTTTTTTCCTGTTAATTTTCCATTTGTGCACTCGTTCCGACTTCAGTTCTGTCGCTTGCAAAAGTTATCTACGTCAAGCTCCTTCAATCTTCATTTGCTATGTAATGCTCTTAGATTATTTTACATTTAAGTACATTGTTCCTCAGAAAACTTTGACTATTTACGTAAAACTATTCGTTTTCCCAGTTATGACAGATAATTAGTTGACATACATTCATAACATATTTCCAACGGAAAATTCATTTTTGAAATACAAGTATATAAAATATATTATATATACTAACATATGCCATTCGAAAGAGGAATCTCTATATGCATAACTGTTAACTGTGGAACTGTACACCTTCACGGACATTTTAAAACCTATTTACGTTCGAATTTTGTTCATATTTGGTTTAGTTTTCAGTTCACTTACGTATTCTTCGATTATTATTAAACTAAGTTATGTCGACACGACTTTAAGAATTGAAGTGAACTGTAAATATTTATTTTTATTTTAAAAAATATTTAAGCGGATAGTTTCTTAATTTTTTAAAGTTAAATATTACAAAGAAGATTTCAAAGAAGACAGCTGTATTAGAGCAGCTTGTTGAGGAAGTAAATAACATTCATATATTTTCACATATTTTCAGTGAGAATCAATAGATTCCTTGTAATAAAAAGGAGGGAACTCCGATAGGTGCAGAACACAGTAATGTGTTAAGAAGGTAAATAACATTGATTCCTTCACACCTCTTAATAAAATAACGTTTTTATATAATTTTAGTTCGCTTCTAATTAACTCAGATAAAACAATATTTGATTTATAAGTCAAATTGTTCCATTATATTCCATTATTTTAATTATTTATACATAAATATTTATTTAATGAATATAACTCAGAATTGGTAGCAACTGTTGCTGCATTAACACATTAGCAACTATTGCTGCATTAACATAGAAAAGAGAATTTAATTAGTTCTAAAATTATAACTTAAGTATATATAAATAAATACATAGAGGAATGAAGCAATCTTAAATAAATATTAGAATATAAATATATAAAATAAATATTTTAAAATTCTTATAAAGAAAGCATAGTAAGCCAATACATTTACGTTTGCGTCTTATTAAAAATGAAGTTAGAAATAATAGTTCCATATTCGCGAATATTAATTAATCAATAAATTATTAATATTTATATTAATTTTTATGTAACTTATTTTATATAGAAAAACACTTATGCACGAAAAACACAAACATCTTAGCTGACAATGGAAAGATCTGATCAATAGCAAATCTTTCATTTGGTCTTTAGAAAAGATCTTTCAGACCGAGCCAGAATAGAAAAGATCTTTCAAACGATCTTTCGCAAGACTTTTGAGTGTGGTTGCTAGAATTGCCCGGTTAAGCTCAGTTATGCAATTTTATCTTTGAGTCTGATTTTAATTTTGAATTTCTGTTTATTTTATTTTGGAACTTTCACGCATGCACTGAACGCGTGAAATTATCCATTCATTTAGAAAGTAAAGCATAGTATTAACTAATCATGTTATAAGAGAAGAAGAAGTATGCAAAATGACATGAGTGTAGCATTATGTATATTTATTGATGCAAATACAGAAACATTATACTGGATTTGCACAACAGTTCTATTTGTAATTTTAGCTGCTAAAAATGTTCATTTTGCATTGAAAGCAATAACAATTGACAGATAAAGTCACAAAAAAACTCTTGTTTGAATCCAGAATTATAATACATTCACACTGTCTCATTTAGTTAGTTGCTCATTTATATTAATGAGTGAACGTTCACACTATAATGAGCTCATTTATGCAGCTGATAGAACTTTTATATGAAAAAAACAAAATTCTCTTGCTAATATATCACAGAAAAAAAAATTAAATATATAATTGATATTTATTTATATTCCATATATCAATTTCATATTCAATTAATAAAATCAAAGATTTTATTAAATACGTACTTCCTCAGAGTCTTTGTTTACACTTCAGCTGTTGTTTGTTTACATTTTACATATTAAACATATAACACATATTTGAAATTTTGGTTATTTTCCTTGTGGGAAATTTATTTTTAATGGTTGCATTAGACATTTTTCGCCTTAAATGAGCTGATTTGTTGATAATGAGCTCATTTGAATTAAAGATTTTTGTGTGGTGAATCATCCTTATTAGTAGTTATAATGAGCAAAACTGCCTAAATGAAACAGTGTGAATGTGCTATTAGCGGTATTCACTCTTTAGAGCAATGTCCAGTGCTACAGAATTATTGTGAATCAATTAAACAAATTCAGAATCCCACCTACTTATAATAATTAATAAAGTTAAGTTGCGACTTGTATGAAACAGCTGTTTTTGTTTAAATTGACCTTACTTACATATAAGTCATATGTAATCATAACATCATCGCTAAAATAGAAATATTATTTCACTTTTAAACGCCTATGACATAAAACATCTAACCTTTTCCATGTATTTCACAGCTCTCATCAATTGAAAGAAAAACTAGTTATAAAACACCAAAAAATAAGAACCAAAAAATAAGAACACCAAAATATATTTGCCAACACTGCACATTTGACACATTCGGTTTTCAGTGCTGACCATACCTTATTTCAAGTTCTGGTGACATTATTAGAAAATTGTAAGTATATAACATAATTATTGTACTCAGTGACTATTTCGAAACGGAGTGATGTTGTTATGATATTAAACATAAATTTGTTTTACATATTATAGAAAAAAGCCTGAATACAGTGTTCCAAACAAGAAGCTTGAAGTAAATACTTACTATTACTTCAGTACGAGTTACATACATCAAAAACAGAAATAAATTCTTGAGTGTAAGTACAGCAGAATAAATTTATTTTATTATATAAATTAATAAAATATATTATTGACATCATGTAGCATATTTTTGGCGCCTTGGCCAACAAGCCATATTTATTTATTTAACAAGCCATGTTTGTCAGATATTTATACATAAAACGTGATAGTCTGGTCACAACTTCAAAACAAAATGCGTGGTCTTATTAAATCTAACAAATATAATTATATATGCATAATGATATTAACAGTGTGAGAGGTTCTAACTTCAACACACCCTCTCAATGTTTATAACATATATAATATGTACATATTTTGAACAATTCAATAATTTTTAATGATATCATGTGTTAATTATATTCATCATTTTAAACCAAGAACCATAGTTAATTTACAATGATTCGTTTTTTGTAGGTTCTTGGTAACAATATCCGCTAGCATTATATTCGTTGGATAGTATTTTAAATCAATTTCTATATGCCTTACGAACAAAGTGATACTTTATACCTTAATGAGCGCATAAAATGGAGGATTTTTGATTGAATTCATACTCATTTTGGTAATATTTATAATAATTGCTCGACCCAAAGTTTTCTTAAATATATAGCATCTTTTGCTGCAGCGAAAAACGTAGTCTGTTTTTTTCTCTCCCAACTAAATACACTTCCAGCCAAGATAAACGAATAGCCTGTATAGGATTTTTGATCAGTTGCGTTGCCTCCCCATCTGCATCTGCATACCGTTCAATTGTTGCACCATTCTTATTGTAATGCAGTTTCATCTTGATAGTTATGCTAAGGTTATGTGCTCAGAAGGAGGATCACAATTTCTCTGGGCTAGTTTACATACTGAGTGCAGCAATTTACATCAGTGATTCAATCAATGACTGATAGTAATGTGAACTTTATTACAACTTGTATTTATGCAGTGTATCTGAAAGTTTGGTTCAATATGGGTGGAAACTAGGCGACACACACTTATACGATACTTCTATAAGAACTGCAACAGAAATTGGGTTTGACTAATAGTCAAGGAACCAACCAGTTTGGCTTTCACTCTCCACTTCTATACCCAGAAAATGATTTATAAGACCCTTATTTTTTATCTATAAAACATAAGAGATTTTCTTTATTATTGTGCGCAACTAACCTAGGTCTGTACACACAAGCAACAAATCATTCACATACACCGCGATGATATTCAAACTTTTATTGCTATCTTTTGTGTATAGACATGATTCGCTTCGGCATGAGACTAATTCTTTTTTCTGTAATTCTTCATTCAATCTGTAGTGTCACATTCGGCCTAAAGCTCTTTATTATCTTCTTTCTCGAATAATTTCAACCGCTCCATAAAAATTTTTTATGCGAGGTGGCCATTCAAATATGCTGAAACGTCAAGGTAATGCTGCTATAGCTAAAATCATACGGTTTCAATCTTACTACCGGAAAAAATAAAACAATATAATTAACACCGTATTTTTGACAACAACCCTTAGAAACGAATCATGCTTTAAACAACCTGATATTTCCACGTGCATCTAATTTCATTGCGAAAACCCCTCTTTTGTCCTGTTGGCAGGCTCCCCGCTTCCCATGTATGATTTTTCATCAATTTATCACACCCCTCCGGATTATTTGTTCTATAGAGCTTCGCACGACCAAACTGTTTCTGGCACTTCTATATCAGTTCATGTCTTAACTGGGGCTACAAAGTTTACAATATCACACTGCGGGCTTTGTCTTAAATTCTAATCAGCTGTTGCATTCTTCGTATTTTCGGATAATTTGGTGTGTTCTTTTGACTGGTTACCTTATTGGCAGTACAGTTCTCCTTATTGTTTTCGACACTTTCGAAGATTTAAAATCACTGTCTGAAATATAGCGGTTAAGATTACTTGAATTTAATAATGGTTGATGATTAATATAGCTATTATTATTTGAATTTTTAATGAAATTTTTATCCTGATTTACCATAAGCCTTTTATTTGTATACCTAGCTAACCATAACCATTTTTTTGCTCTTTAGTCGAAATTTCTTCTTCTTAGATTTATCAAGAGCTATCAACACGCAACCAAGTACTCGTAAGTGACTTTCCACAAGATTCATTTTCAAAAAGCTTCATACGAAGCAAAGTTCTTTATTGCATTTAAGATCATAATTATCAAATTCTTTGTGTATTCAGTGCAATTATCACTGCGTAACATTCTCAGTTTTTTTCATGTTGGACATTCAACGCTGCTCTTAAATAACTTAAAAACACTTACAACTTCTGGTTTTTGCCTCATAAAGTACAAAAATATATACCGCGAGTTGTCGTCTCCAAAAGTAACAAAGTATCTGGGTCATCCGACTGAGTTAACGTTTATTGGTCCACAAACATCACTATGGACTAAATCTAAGATATTATTCGATTTGCTTTGAGACGATTGAAACGGCTTTATGTTGCATTTTCATTTAAGACACATTATGCAATTTATATGATTTTTATCTGTATCAAATTTTAAGCCCAGCCTAGTGCTATTTGCTATTTTTTAATTCCGCTAAACTATTGATGTTTAAGTACCCTTAACGTCTATGCTACAAAATTAGATCATCATTTATATTGTTATTAAAAATTAATTGCGTTTTTAAGATTCTTGATTGTTAATACTTCTTCTTCAATCGCTTACAAAATCATATTGCAATACCGGTACATATAACACATTTTTTGATATGAGTTCACCCATGCGACTTTTAATTCTCACGTTACTACGTCCTATAACTTTGAGAAATTTATTGCTCGCAAACATTTTTTTAACTATTTCGTTATTTCGTTATGTTTAAGCCGTTCACTTTCCTCAAACAGTTTTGTTTTTTAAGGACTAACCTTTGGAAGCGGATCTGGTATTCCTAAGGCAACAACAAAGCTTTCGTTACTTTTTGGCAAGCTTGCTAAAATCATTATAATGAACAACTTTTCTCGCAATTCAATGCCAATTTCCGAAAGTTGTTCAACGACTGTTTCAAAACTTGCAATATACTGGTGCATAGAATCACCCTCACTCATGCGCTCATACAGCATTTACTGAAATAAAGATACTTTCGTTACCGGTATAGTGGGCTGCTAAATTTCTTCGAAGGCAGTTCAAGCGGATTTTACAATATAACACTTCTTTATATGTCCAATTTGCTAAGTTTTAATTGACAACGTCATTACCGCCATTGCGTTTTTATGTTTCTACTTCCATTTTTCATACATATCCAGACTTTTCTAGTCCTTGGGCTTATCTCAGGCATTTTTTTATATATAACACACCAGAGCCCTTGGCATGGCCGTGCTTAGCGCAAAAATTACGGTGGCCCGCTGGAATATATGTGTCAAAAAGATGTATGTAAATTAGTAAAAAATTAAAAAGATGAATTTCACACATATCATAAAAGCAATATTTAATTATTACTTGAATCAGTAATAATATATTGAAGTTGATCGGAGAGGGGTGGGGTGGGAGGGGTTGGGTACTATGATGTATGAGGACACTCCTCATCTGGATACTCCATGAATAGTCATTATTTTCATCCAGTTTTTCAATATTATATATCGAATTCATCGTTGGTTCAATTCTGCGTAAGACCTGTTAGATATTTCAATATTAAACGTGGTAGTCTGGTCACAACTTTGAAATAAAACACGTGGTCTTGTCTTGGGGTGTATTATAATATGCTTAATAATGCTTGACAAACATAATTACGTATGCATAATGTTATTTACATTGTGAGAGCTTTTAACTTCATTAATACTATTATATAAAACTATTTCAGTAAAAGTAGTTTTGTTCATTTTTTAGCATACAACGACTTTGCTGCTTCTAGGAATGATATAATTGATATTTTGAGAGACGTTGCAATTTATACAATTTTGTGGTTCACTTCATTCATCATTAGAAACATTTTCTTTATAGAACACATTAAAAAAATTATTTCACAGAGGAATCATTTGGTTTTTCTAGTTTATGGTACAAATACTAAACTAAGAAATATATTTAAATGTTTTCAATATTTTAAAATTAAAACTACTTCAACTCTAATACTTAGCACCATGATATTTAATTTAAAATAAGATCTGCTTGAACTATATTTAAAATGATGGAAAAATATTTCTATGTACTATAAAATTAAAATTAATTTGAAAAAATTAAAAAAAATAGTAACTGTGTATGAAATTATGTAAAACTAATTCCAATATAAAGTATTTTATATATTTATGTTCAACTTATGATAAAAAATGAATAAACAAATCTTTAAAAATAATTAAACTATATTTAAAGTTATGTTAAACTGAAGGTTAGAGGTGTATTTCTTGAAGCTGTGGCATAAAGAATCTTAAATAAACGTAGTTGAATTGGGAGACAACTCTCACGTCGGATTGACTGAGTCCGGTCTACTCTCTAGTTTCTGCAAATATGCCAAACAGATTACCATTGCTTCTACGTTAGAAATGAACTAAACGTTGAAGTTTTCACTTGAATGAAATCTGTAAGTTTCTCTAAAGCAATGTCCGGAATACAACTTCGTATTGTCCTACTACTGCTATCGTGCTGTATTGTAAAAATTTGTGTTATAATTTTATGCTTTAAATATAATAAATTCCAAATACTCTCTGATTCCTTGGCCAGCATATAAAATTTTCAATTGAGAAATGCGACGGGACCATGCCCTACGTCCTGACAGATTATTGTTTATTGCGCCAATAGCCATTTACGATGCTGCGTCGTTTCTTCTTTATTCATTTAAATTCACTAATAAAAACAAAACACATATTTGTTATAACGTTTATATATGCAAACTCAACAATGTCGCAACGATTC